AAACCACAAAGTCACAGCAGCATGCCGAGGGTCTGACATAGGGTATCGAGTACAGGCAAAAATTCTTACCGAAGACGTACTTGATTAATATGAATTCGGCTTGATCAGAATAGAATTTACAGTATTCGAGGAGGCAGAGGAACACTTACCACATTGCTGGACATAAGCCTAAATTGTCATGAGAAGCATGAATCAGTAGATTAACAAAGAAGAGAATTTCGAGCCCCCCCCCAGAATTCAGCCACGTCTTGCTTCTGCTTCAGGGAGGATTTTATATTGGATTCGAAGATTTATTCCTTTATTAGTTTCTGACCAGGATCCCATTTCTCCTTTTCAGAATTGGGTCTCGTTTGAAGCCGCAGGCCCTTGAGGGAACAAGTCTGAAAGATATTTGATGATGTTGCATTGGCTGTGATACGTAACTTCAATAAAAAAACGTTTTCCGCAAATATGACTTCAATTTATATTCTCTGGGTTCTTATTATTTCCCAAATACATTGAAGAAAGGGATTCTAGGTGCCCGTAAAATCGAGGTACCATTTTACACGCTTTTCTCCCAAAAAGATGAGCGACAGTGGACTCCAGAGTTGCTATCGGCCACAATGGCTCTGAATCAACTTCCACAGTCTGGACGGAAGCTATTAAAAACTAATAGCTATAAGCCTACGTTGACTTGGCTAGTATCGGAGTCTCCATAACCGCGGGCTTCTGATTATATTTTTTACAACACAAAACAGCAGTGAACCGAGAACCGTATACTAAGATGGCCGCAAAATTAACTCACGAAAAATCATTTAATGAACGGGAATATGTTTCAGACGAAAGGCAGTAGAACCCAAATTCAGGTTGTTGTGAGGGGACTTAGGTGAGCAAATTAAACACGACAAGTCACCACAATTTTCCAACCTGAAACTTTTTAACGATACTCTTTTCTGAGTTAGATGTAATCTAACTGAAAACATATGTGGAAAACCGAAAGATGTTGAAATGGCCTTTTCTAGCTTCTTTATTAGAGCAGGATGGAAAGATTATGTTCATAAAATCAGGCCAATTAAGTCATAAATCGATGCAAAGTCAATCCGAACTTCCCCAGTAAAGGGTTGTTCTCTTCCCAACAACTATTCACGTATTTCCCCCTATGACACGCAAATCATATAATTATGTAAAAAGGAAATAAGTACAGTATCTGCCTGCTTAAAGGCATGCATACTGATGGCGTTGTCGGCAAAGACAAGGGAGGCTGAACTGACCTTTTCTGGCTCATTAGCCGTCATCAGCCAGTCATATCCAACTTCGAGTGGTGCCCCAGCCGAGGCTCGGACCCATAAATTTCTGATCAGAAGTCTAACGTTCTAACCATTGAGCCATGTAATGCTATCTGCCTAGAATACTAGCCACTGTGCGGCTTCTGGCGGGACTCGAAAATGAGCCCCAAGACAGAGCGAGACGAGTGAGTTTCATTAGCGATCGATGAAAATTCATCAAAGAGTGTCAGTATCCCCCGATATAAACT